TCCTGACCCACAGCTCCCTGCCCCCCCCCCGCCAGAGAGGCACCCAGTTGCCCCTATCCTGCTTGGGCTGGAGTATGATGGCTGCAGCAGCTCCAGCTCATGCAGGCTGCAGCGTGGCAAGTCCAGCCCCAGCAAGGGCTAGAGTGAAGAGGAAAGGCCTGTGACATCCCCCACTGCACTGGGCTGGGGTTGTGTGCCATGCCAGGCAACCTGGTCATGTTTTCCCAAGCAGCGTCTCCCAGCCACCCAGCCCCCGTGAGCATGGCCACCGGCCCTGGTGCCACCAGCCCAGCCACACAGCTCTCTCCTGCCCCCCTCCCCTGCTGAAAGGGGCAGGTGCCTTCCCACCGCCCCTATGCACTGCTGCAGCTCACAACCCTTTGAAATATTTTTGTGACTCACAGGTTGAGAAACATTGCTCTAGGAGTTCACAGATTGTTAAACTATACCAATATTTTTGAGGGTATCAAAGAAAGGTCATCTGATTTGCAATTCCAAGCATCCATTCCTTCCATCCTTTATTTAAGAGTTAGGTATTAAATTTCTTTCCCAAGTACCCACAAATTCCTGAAGGTACTCTTTAATGATTCAGAAACTTCTTTTGTTGGTTCTTTAAATACTCTAAGGTGAACTTTATCAGGCCATGCCAACTGTCAACTGAAACAAATCCACCTTCTCTAAATATTCTTTGGCTAGTCCATTACCTATTCTAGCCTGTACTCTTAACCCTTCGCTTAAATTAATTTAATTACTTGGTTACAGTTAACTTTCTGTGAAGGAAGCAAAGGAATCAAGCACTTCAAGTCCGAGTCATCATCATCATCAATTTTTTTCCCTTTCCCCATTAAGTAGTGGGGCTTGGACCATGTTTTTCCTTCATTTTGCTTCTAATGTAATTCCAGAATCTTATCTTGCTGCTTTTTATGACCCTTGTTGGTTGTAAATAATATTGGAGCTCAATCTTTCTGATTTTTTCTCTGCCTAATTTCGTGATTCTTTTTTCATCCTTGTTTGTACAGGCAGTCCTCAACTTACAGTGTTTTGAGTTACAAAGTTTTGCACTTACAACATTTATAAATTGACACCGTTTCA